GGGGGTAATCTGTCTCCAAGCTCCACCCCTTTACAAGCAATAATTGGTAAAATACTATCTCATAATAAAACAAGGAAAACCTGAACGAGGATAATAAGAATAGATGCAACGGTCCCACCCAGCAGGAAATACTGAAGAATGGTTCTCCTCCTCCTAGAACTTAGGAACCTTGAGTAGTGTATAATCACCTCTGAGATCGCCTCACCATCAAGGAAATACACCTGGAGAAGCAGAGGTAGTTATTAAAACACGAATTGTACTTAAGTTGCAGTGACTTATTTACCACTGTTCTAGGATTAAGAAATTATGTATTATGCCACATTATTCTCAAAGAAGAAATATTCAAAAGAGAATGGTCATTATCTGCAATCGATTACTAAATATAGTAAATGAGTCCACAAGCCGGCTTATTCAGGAAGTTGGAAACTAATCAAGTTAGTTTGCAAAGGTGCTGATTTGCCAGCCACAACAAGTATTCAAAAATAAAAAATCACCAATCGAACAGCAATAACATTTAACTACAAGAACTGACAAAAACTCATGAATAGCCATGAAGGAGGAAAGAGACGAGAAAGTTGAGCATAAAAATTGAGAAGCAACAACTTCAAAGAGCCAAGACAAGCCTTAGGATGTCTTTTTTTTCTTTACCAAAAGTCCAAGCACAAAGCTCAATAAGATCTCAATATAATGACGTGAAACATCGAAGTTACGAAATTGCTGTATTTTATCCTTCGTCCTCTCTTATGTGGTGTGGAAAGGTGACAGTCTGACACCGCATTTTATGAAGTTTCTCAAATTTATTACAACATCTGGATCACGATTTAAGACCCAACCAGGTTTTCCACCTGACTTTCAGATTTTTATGCTCTTGCCCCTGTCATACAAGACATTTATGTTTGGTGCAGCTTCCCTACGATCTCATCAAACCTATTTTACATAGAAACACATGCATTCAATTTCTAGCAAGTCATTTTCTGATTATCAAGAACGCATATACGGTACCCAATCCATGTCTATAGACAACTGAAATGTCTGTCCAACAGAGGATCTAATGCATGGCCTGGTATGTTTCATGCAGGAACGACCTACTTAAGCAAAAGCATTGGCCTCAATCTTCTAAAGAGTTGCAGATTTGATGTCATCTTATATTGCGACCACTATATATCAACATTAATGAGAGCAGAAAACAGGTCTACAAGATGCTAGGGAAATTCCCATAGGAAAATCCTTTTCTCAAAGTTGTCTCAGAATCTTACCACTCATAGGGTATAGCGACATATAGTAAGTAGGGATGTTGTCAAGGACATTATTATTAGGTTAGTCTGCCTCGCATTGATAAATACTGCAACTTCCAGGAGGCTAGGTTCTTCTCAAACTTCTCAATGGTCCCACTCCATACAACTTCTAATTTGTATTTTGCCCCTAGTGGAACTCCTGGATAGGTAGGCGGGTAAGTCCTAATGCCAATGCACTTTCCAGTTCTTCCAGATTTGCACTCATTAACAGAATGGTTTACACTTTTGAGCATGTTAATGTGTAAACCTGATTTCTGCCTGCCTCACAAAAATCAAGGTGTCATCTGCATAAAGTAGATAAGATATATTAACTGGAAACTTTTCCCAACTTCAAAGCCATTCAGCCATTGCAACTGTTTAGCTTTGTCCAAGATTCTGCTCAATCCCTTCCATTGCTAGTATGATAATAAAGGTGATAGAGGGCCACCCTGACAGACTCAAACCTCTTTCTGGGGAAAAGAAACCAACTGACTTATGTTGATCAAAATAGAATACTTCACGGTGGAAATGTTGAACTCGATCCATTTGATCCCCCTTTCACCAAATCCCCCATCTGTTCGAGGATGGAGATAAAATAGGACCAGTTCAATTGGTCAAAACTTTTTCTATGTCCCCCTTACATAGGATACTTGCACCCTTTACTTCAATTGCCAATCAGGAACCTCATAAGCTATTAATGAGACATCTGTAATCTGTCCCAATGCTGCTTCCCAGTATATTTGCCAGTTCTTCCAGATTTGCACCTCATTAACAGAATAGATTACACTTTCGAACATGTTACTGTGCAAATCTGATAGAGCTTAAAAAACAAGGAGTGTTAGGTTTCAAAAAAAGCACATGATTTTTGTCTGCCCATAGAAAATCAAGGGGTCATCTGCATAAAGCAGATGAGATATGTTAACTGAGAAACTTCTCCCAACTTCAAAGCCATTTAGCCATTGCAACTGCTTAGCTTTGTCCAACATTCTGCTCAATCCTTCCATTGCTAGCATTATAAGAATAAAGATAGAGGGTCACCCTGCCTCAAGCCTCTTTGTGGGGAAAAGAACCCAACTGGACTTATGTTGATCAAAATAGAATACTCACAACGGAAATGTTGAACTTACTCCATTTGATCCACCTTTACCAAATCCACCATCCATTCAAGGATGGAGATGAGATAGGACCGTTTCAATTGGTAAAAACTTCCTCTATGACCAGCTTACATAGGATACCTTCACCCCTCTGCTTCAATTGCCAATCAAGAAACTCATTTGCTATTAATGAGGCATCTGTAATATGTGCCCCCCCCCCCCCCCTAATGACAGGATGCTGATTTGAGACCAAGTTTCCCATCACTTTCCTCAATCTTTTTGTTAGGACCTTAGCTAACTTGTATACACTGCCAAAGGCCAATTGCATGCAGTCTCTTAATTCCAACTTTTCTTCTTAGATATCAGCGCAATGAAGGATGCATTACATGATCTAACCCTCAAACATTGTTGATGATAAGGATTCAACTCTACAAGGATGGGATGTCAGATTCTATATTTTTATGAATTTCCAAGACTGTAGGTAAAAGGCCATTGTATCCCCATCTACAGCTGCCTTGTTTGATGCACTTGATTTAGCTGCTATTACCTCCTCTTCAAAAAGAGGTGCCTCCAGATCACACCTTTCCTCTTCTGCTGTGGAGGCAATGCCTTCAAAATTAGCATACGGTCTCCAATTTTCCTGTTCAGTGTACAGCTTTTCATAGAAATCCAGTGTCTCCTTAATCAATTCTTTATCCTCAATGATTTCACTACCCACCATGAATTTGTCAGTGCAATTTCCCTTTCTGTGTGAATTGGCACTCTTTTAGAAGTATTTAGTGTTCATGTCTCCTTCCCTAAGCCAAAGACACTCAGACTTCTGCCTCTACGATATCTCTTCTGCTTTGGCTAGCTGTTGTAATTCAACTCTCAGGTTCATCATTCGATTGGACTCAGACAAAGTCAATTGCCCTACTTCGGACTGGTCAAATGCCGTAAGTTCATCTAGTTCCTTGGTTTTCCTAGTTTCCACCTTCTCAAATTCTTCCTTATTCCAAGTAGTGATGTCCTTTTTCGAGTTTTTCAACTTTTGTGGAAGGACGAAATCTTCACTACCAGTAAAAGTGTAACTCTGCCATCAGTGCTTCAGTTTGTCAAGGAATCCTTTTGACAGTAGCCACGTGTTTTCAAATTTGAAACAAGGAGTTGCTTCCAAGTCCCCACTCTCCAATAAGATTGGCCTAAAATCTGAGATCACCTTTAGAAGGGCAGTTTCTCTCACAACGTGAGTCATTCCACAGCAGATGACAAACCTACCAATTTTGGATGCTTGTATGCTTTTATCACCTCTGACCAGGTGTAATGAGCCCCTTAAGAGGTAAATGAATAACATCAAGATCCTGGATAATGTCTCAGAATGATTTCATGGCTCTGGATCTTCTTATGCAATTTAGCTTCACTTTCAAATCTGCAAACACTGAAGTCACCTCCCAAAACTTAGTGACTTTACCATAGTCCCCTTACCCCTATAAGTTCATTCCACATCTCTTCCTTTTTTGGACTAGTGTGAGGCCCATAAACACCTATGAAGCACAACCTATATTCCTCTTGAAAACTCTCAAGCATATATGATATGGAGTAGGAACCCTGAAGTGTGTCTATTTTGTTCCACTGACTCTTATCCCAAATCATTACGATCTTTACCCTAATTCCACATGATTTTTAATTACCCCAAAGTTGCTAAATCATTCTACCAGACCAATCCTCTTATCTCAGTCTCCTACAAATATCCACCCTCCAATTTTGAATGAGAGATTTAATAGTGGTCTTTTTCCCATCCTTATTCAACCCCGCACGTTCTAGCTCACGATAAATAGCTTCATCCAGAAAAGAAGTTGTAGTGCCTATCCCTACTTCCACTAACATGTTGCCCTTCTCGATCATAATTGATTCCACGGGCTAACCTTTTTTTTTCCCCTTCTCCTTTGTTTTTCTTCTCCTTCCAAACTTTTGCTTTGACTCCTCTTGCTGAATTTGGATTTGTCTCCATTGCTCCATTCTTAGAATAATATCCGGGAGATCATGCTCGAACACGATCACATTAACCACAAAGAGTTTGCATGCCTTCACCATGGTGATTTTAGTCCATTTCGAGGTCTCGATAAGAGAAGATTTGTCTATTAGCTCCATATTGGAATCACCCACGTACCATATCAACAGAAGAGCTTCGCAAACTGCTTGGGAAGAGAAATTCGTACCTAAGCTGGTTATTGGAACTACTTCGATGCTTGAGGGGAGAATGCGATGTGGCTTGTGGATCTCTGTTGTGGAGTAGCTTTGTCGACCGTAAAGGAGCTAATTTTCAAGCTCTGTTTTGAGAGGAGGCTATGAAGGACTTTGGTATCAAAGAGTATTCAAAGCCAAGAGACACTATGGCTAAGGTATTAAATTGGTTTGCATTTGTGTTGGGCTTGTGACCAACTATCCTCCAAATTGTCTTCTCTTATAATAAGCTAAACTCTTATATGGGCTATCATTTTTGTGCTTTTCTTATAATAGTTTTTATTTGCTTCCAAGCCAAAATATTTAACAGCAGTTGTACTAGGCCCTCTCCTCTCATTAGTCATTACCCTCTGAGATTGCTAACCCTTTATCCTTTGGATTAACAAGTGCACCAAGTGTTAAATTAAAGTTGTAAAGTGTCCTCCCACGTGTGTAACTACTAGCCTCGATACATGGCTCGAGGTACCTACTTCAATCGGTGTCCTCTCTGCTTTACCGAAGCTAGGTTTTCCTATTGGCTAGACTTTGGCGTGATGGTCCTCCAATAATGAAACTTCGAACCCTCAATCCTCATTGATCAACTCCAAATTTCTTGTAGTTCTCCCTTGCTATTTTTCACATGATTTCGTTGCTAGTAACTTTATTCCTGTCACGAGAGACCACCATTGCAGAGTCAATCTTCTACCATTCCAAAACCATTCACCAGCTTTGACTTTGTTTGCTTCTACTCTGGACGGGAGTTTGAGAACAAATTATGCCCAATCGATGTGACTTTAAGACCAACTGTGACATGCCATCTGCTTATGAACCACTTCTAGATCACCTATACATGGAGCTGAAGTTGAATGACCATTGAACTAGCCGATGAGGCATTTCCAAAGGGAATGTTCCTTTCCATGTTCTTTCCCTCGATGGATACGGATGTTGCCCTGTTGCAGCACTGATCTTAGTTGGTCATTGTGAAATCCTTACATCTTCCTTATAAGACCTAGACTGGTCTGCGTAAAGATGGAATCTTGGGTCTATGTATATCCCTGTATATCCTTGTCTCTTCCTTGCTATGTCCCCATCCTTTGCTGTAACTGCCTTATGTGATGATAATTGCATATTTATTATCCCCTAGGATACATTCTACTCTAACGAACCTCCTGCCGCTATTAAAATTCTAGACCACTCTGAAGGTCTAGAATTTTACATCTTCCTTATTATACGCTGTGTCTTCCTACCCTATCTCCTGCATTTATTACCAGACTGTAGTGAGGCTTGAATCAATGCTTCACATACCCATCGAAAGTTGCTTGAATCAATCTTAATTTGATGCATAAATCTTCAGCTGCTCGCTGTATGGACAAACTAGCTTTCAGCTTCCTCATTAATGCTAACTAATTCAAAAGTTTTTTCGCTCAAAATAGAAGTGATTCCCTGATCCATTACTAAGCAAAGGACTATGCCGGAGTTTGGAAAGGAAGAAGAGAGAGAAAAGAACTATGGCCACATCCCAATAGAGAGCATTTTAAAAAGAATATAGTCCAGGTCTCCTAAAATAGAGGGAATATGTAAGAGAATGGATTCAGACACACGACCATTTACAAATGTTGAACCCACTTGAACCATATCACCGAGGTATTTCATTCATGCTTCCACCTTTTTTGATAAGGTAATAATTTCATTGAAAAACAGGCATAACACATGCTTCCACCTTAATAGTACTAACATTTTTTGCCTTGTTTTTGACACCTCAGTTTGCAATGCCTTCCATCCAATAGATGTTTCATGATTTTGTCATGGTATTGTTGCTAGTCACAGTAGCAAACAGGAGTTTCCTGGGAAAACATTCAATCTGTAGAGTCTATAAAGTTCAGTAAGAAGCCGCTGGGAACACGAATAGCATTTGCTTCCTATATGTTCACGGTAACCCTTTTGAGCACGAGTAGGTAACATCTACACCAAGTATGCCATACTCTCAATTCCATAAAGTAAACCTATTACATGATACTTAAGTAATCTTCCTTCATCCAGATAATCCTAAACTTGTGGTATGATGCCTGACGAAACCTAATTTGCAGTGTTTTTTTTTTTCTTTTCATCTTTCCATAAAATCATCACTGTTTTTCCAGCATTAAACATGCCTTGACTTTCATTTTTTCCAAGCTCTTTTCATGCTTAATCATTCTAAGAAATTATCCATTATAAGACCCGAAACCTAATTTGCAGTGTTTTTTTTTCTTTTCATCTTTCCATAAAATCATCACTGTTTTTCCAGCATTAAACATGCCTTGACTTTCATGTTTTACAAGCTCTTTTCATGCTTAATCATTCTAAGAAATTATCCATTATAAGACCCATTTCATCCACAATGATTTCTATCCTTTTGGGCCCAAATCAGCACAATTCTGTAACCATCAAGCTGTTGCAACCTCCCAACAAAACTGGTATTTCCTAACATCACATTGAGGATCAATTGAAGCTTAACGCAGAAAATACACAACAAGATATGACCACACAAGGGCTAAAAGACATGGAAATCAGAGAAAGTTATTATTTCTATATGAGTACATACCGGCAGGCTGTTGAGAAGTGCAAGGGTCAAAGAGACATTAAAGGTGAACATCAAAAACTTTTCCAGTACGTATGGAAGATGTGCACCAAATTTAGCGGACCAACGAGGTTGATATGAAGTCAAAAGAACTGAATGCTTCATTGAATTTATATCACCCACAAAAACAAAAGTCTTAACACAGGGGTTCTCCCTTGAATTATCATCGTCAACAACACGCATTGTCCCAAGTTGCGAGCATTGCAGAGGAGAACTTGAATATGCTATCTCCACCCATGCTACACCGGTCTCCAAAAGTGGAACAAAGCATGCTTTGTCCTGCAATAAAACATCAATTTTTCACCACATGTTCAAATGCATTTTGAGTGAGGTTGTATTTGTTCTAATCATATAGCGCATTACAAACTACATGAGCAATTTTTCTTGGCAGTACATGACAAACATAAACAGCTGGAAAAATGATATAAAGATGTAACTTCTTGTCAAAATAGGACACGCTAAAAATTCACCTTGGAACACAAGCAGCTGCTCCTGTTGTTACGAATTCTACCCCAGTCATCACCACATTTCTCAAGGTTTAATATATCCATTGCATATAAGCAGTGGAGTTCACCTCCATCCCTTTGATGGTTAACCTCAAGATTATCATCATCAGGCATGGCCTGATCCAAGCATGGAATGGTAATAAATGGACTTAGTTCATCTGGGCAAGAAGTTTCATTGCCTTTCAACGAAATATGCTTGCTCTCTTCAATCAAAGAATAGGGAACACAGTAGCCTTTACCAACACTTGTTTTCATAGAGTTTCCAGGAAGGCTGTGATTCTGAGAGTTTTGATAGTGCTCAGTTAGTATAGCAATCATTTGTGACCACTCCTGAAGATTATTGATGCGGACGCCATCCAATGATAATATGACATCACCAGGAGATAAATAGCCAGACAATGGCGATGTTGGAGACACATCCAGCACCTGCTCAAGATATTGTGATTGGAACACATTAGCCACAACAATGCCTAATTAGGTTCCCCCAAATTAGCACCTTACAGTACAGGAAATTAATCCTCAATTACCACGGGGCCTTCATCATGAATGTAAAATGGAGACAAGACCAAGGGTTGAACGAGCAACGCCCAAGCACAAACAGCACAGAGCTGCAAGAAAAGTCGTCCAATCAGTACAAAGAGTACATAATATGACAAATAAATGTAGATGGACTAGCATTCCTTAAAAAGCCAAGCTGCTATAAGCACCCACAGCTGCATTATGCCAAACGCCAGCACAGTATATACGAAGAGCAGAAACTTTGGATAATGCCAGCAATAACTCGTGATTGAATGCCACAAGAGCACCTGGAAATAATGCAGCCAGAAATACAGCGATGTACTCCATCTGTATGCCCTCACTGCTTTTCCAGAATGTAGTGCCTACAAAAGCAGTTGTGAGATTCATGTACTGCTATTGCTAGGTCTCAAAACATGTCAACTGATCAGGTATATCACGCAATAGTTAGCCAATTGTTAAATCAAAGATCATGAACGTTAACTGATGAAATTAACATGCTTAACAACATATCTATTATTTGTTGTGCAGCCATGAGGCTTATATACAAAGATTTCATATAAGCTATTAATCATGCATAGAAAAAAGTACAAGAAATGTTAACTGCATATTATCCTAGAAACTCTGTGCCTCTACACTTTGATACCTCGTTTCCTCCAGCTCGATCAATTCATTGACGAAACTCTACTAGAAAAAGATTCATACCCACGTTTCCCATCAGCCCGAACACACATGTAGAGAACTTTCCGCCATTCAGAACCTTTTGGGTAAAAGGAAGAGAATTCAGGATACTCAAACAAAAGCACCGAAGCACATTATGGGTGAACTGAAATTCATATTCTTGTCCTTTGAGTATCCATTGTTTGGGCTTTGGCTTTGGGTTTCTTGTTCCAGAGGTGTGATTAATAGGAGCATCAGAAGAAGAAACATCTGTCAGTCTGTTCATGAAACGAACTCTCTTCCTTAACATACCCTGATTATATTGCTAAATAACAGTTCAAATTCTCAATCATCTCTAAGTAAGCCTTCAATGAAGCCAAAGCTTAGATGCACTGCCATTATTAATCTAGTGGACTGAAACCACAGAACTCATCTAAAGAGAAAATTATTCATCATTCTTCGTATATGCATTGTCCCACATGTATTATTTTCTCCCCGTAAAAATTAGGAAAACTAATGAAAGAGTACAAGTACAAGAAGGAACATAATCTTTCAAGAAGATTTCCATAAATACATGTATTAAGTATAGCTACATTCACATTGTGCTCCAAACATTTCAAAACAGTATTAGTCTTAACCTTGCAGCAGCTAGAGCGTGGCCAAGTTCATGCACTGAAACTGATATGATGGAAGATATGCACAGATATCCAATGTCAGCCAGTGAGATGGTCAAGCCTGATATCTGTGCCCAAAAACAAATGAAGCAGATGCAACTGTTTAGAGAACTCTTGATTTGAATGCAAATGCAAATAGCAGTTTCTAGCCCAGATCATGTCTATGTAGGTCACAGCCATGCTCACCCCTTAGCTTAAGCCCAAAAGATAGCATAAGTCAAGACCATTTCACCCCTTACCTTATTAAGCCAACTAGACAACCAACATAGGTACATGTTAGAAGCAACTTAAACATGCCTAACATCTTGCCTAAGAAAATAAACTATGCTCAAGAAAGAGAGCAAAAGAACAAATGTAACTTCATCAATATTCTCTATTCATTTTTGCTTTTCAGAGGGTTGCAAGTTTAGTCGTATTGAGAACGAGAGAAGAACTGGTATATGGGTTGGGAAAAAACAATTTTTTGATTGGTATGTAATTGACGTTCATTTATTTGCAACCTTGAGTTCTGTTTTTCAGTTCTATGAATGCCTAGAAATGACAGGAAAAATCATTTACTTTTCATATATTTTTTTCTCATTCCCAGCCATGATGGCAATGAAGTATTGGTTTGAAGCACAGTAATCCAAAGACTGAAAACCAAGTGAGTTATAATGTGAGAATACATACCATAGAAGAAAACCCAAACAGATATCCACTCATAACATAGCTCATCTGGGTGTTGCCATAATAGAGACACAGTATCTGGCCGATTTCATACAAAAGAATCTGGCAAGGATGAAGAAATGCTAACTCAATTGGCAGAAGTTAAATAAAATGGGAAAATCCTTTTTCCTTTGCTATTTTCAAACATTAATTAATTAGGAGATATAGAAGAAATAAAACAATACTGAATCTAGCAGGTGACTGACCATAGTAACTGCAGCCAACACAGCAAGACTAAATCCAACACCCATTGAGAACCAAGCTTTCAAGCACCTGCAAGAAAAGTAGTCACTTAGCAAGGCATAAAAGTTAAACTAAGCCCAAACAGCTCCCTACATAAGATAAAAAAGGTAAAAGTTGCAAAGAATAAACATATATATATATAAGATATTTACACATAAATATATAATATTAATATAACTTAACATATATACATATTTAAGCACAAAATATAGCATATAGTCAAATACAATGAGGTTTAGTGTCAACACATTAAAACTTCCACAATCGCAAGGGATGGCCTACCAGTTGAAGAGTGAAATAACAACCTTGCAAACAAAAGTTTGAATCCCAATGGAGGCCGTACAAGGTGAACTCTTCCCATTTATTTAATTCTTGGTAGGTTAAGTTACCCGGTATTCATGTTGGTGAGAAATAGCAGGAAACCGGTGGACTAGTCGTGCAAACCAACCCAGCCACCATTAATATACAAAATAAAGAAATCAAATAAGTTAGAATCATACTTATCCAAAAACAGTTAGGTTAGAAATTATAATTCAACCTCATTGGGCTTGCAAGACAGGCTTGATCTCATAGAACTAGGCTCTGCCTAACCTTCTCATATTATGTACTATTCATATTGTGAGAAAACAAGGGAGGCGAGAGTTATTGATTACTTGATAATTTGATGAAAAGATCTCAGCTCTCTCTTATTTCTTTAGCTCTAGCTCTATCTTGTTTTCTTAGCTTCTTTTAAAGAGCTGAGACTCGACATCTTAAAAAGCTCTTAGTTTTTAAAGAATGCTTCTAGTCAATCAACATTTGTTTGTCATTAATAAATATCACCTCTCAATCAGTGTTATCAAAGGCGAAGAGCGCAAAAAAGCTCTAAGGTCCGTTGGGGCTTTAAGCGCAAAGCGCAGATAAAGCGTGGGCTTTAATGAAAATCGGCGCAACTGGAGAATAAGTAAAAACATGTATATGTAGTCCAAGACAAATAATTATAAGTATGAATGACAAATATATGAACAAAGAAATTGATTTTTTTTTTACGATAAAGTGAAATATCAATTGTTTACTGTTGCCTTTTCAGGATTACACTCATTGACAAGGAAAAGTATACCTTAGAGCCTTGATGCGATACTAAAGCTCTCACGAAGCGAGGCGAAGCGCTCAACATGTTTTGAGCCTCGCTTCAGGGCTTAAGCGCGCTTTAGGCGCGCCTTTGACAACACTGCTCTCAATATCTCACAGTTTTCTCAACTCCTAGCTCAACAAATCAAGTATGTTAGATATCTAACTGTCCAGAAAAAGGTTAAGCTTAGAAATCTTAAGCTAACCTTAGAGGATTCACAAGCCAGCTTGATCTCATAAAACTGGCTTCGCCAAAGCTAAAACTTCTTACAACATATGAGTATATTCTGCAACAACATGTTGATAGCACGCGAGATTTATTGAATACATAATTTGATGTATACTGTGAGAAAGAATACACAATTTCTCACGGGAAAATTATATTGTTGATGTACCTTAACTATAATACAAGAATCCCTATTTATAACAATATACAATATTTACGGTACTCCTATTTCATGTAGGACTTCGCTTATTTACATAACATCTAATTATCTAGCACTCACCCAGAAGCCGATGCATACAAATCATATCTATCGAGCTTGTTACATATGTAACTACTACGAGGACTAGCGAAGGACCTGGTGAAAGTATCTGTAAGCTGATCATTCAACTTCACAAACTTTATAGCAATATCTCCTAAGAGTATCTTTTCTCTGACGGAGTGGCAGTCAATCTCAATGTGTTTAGTTCTCTCATGGAACACCAGATTTGATGCAATATGAAGGATAGCTTGATTATCGCACACAAGTTCATATAGCTAATTTCACCAAATTTTAAATCCTTGAGCAATTGTTTGATCCAAACTAGCTCACATGTTGCCAAGCCATTGCTCAATATTCTACTCCTGCACTAGACCGAGCAACCACATTCTGGGTCTTTGTAGGGACCTCCATTGAAGTTCAAAACACATGGTCAGTGAGCTTTTGATGCCATTTACGGTAGCATCAGGAGTTTGACCCCAAGATTTCCGCAGTCGAATGAGAAAGAAGTCATCAATAGCGATGTTGGAGATGATCAAGACTAGTTAATGGCAATCTTTCGTTCACCCTTGGATGTTTAAGATTGAGGTGGCCTAGAGATCTCAGAAATTAAGTGTGTTTGTTTTTAAAGTCTGAATCTTATTATTCAGATTTAATTATTAAGTGTGTGTTTTTTTTACTTTACAACCACTTAATGGATCTGAATAGGTCTTTACGATTAAGATCTATAACAAAGACTTAATTTCATTAAGATGCTATCATCCACATTCATTATTACTGTCGCTACCGCCTACCATTATCAACTACCACTACGCCACTCACTACCACCATACTCAACCACCACCACCATCATACTCAATCATAGCCGCCACCATTATCAACTACAACCATCCACGATTCCAACCACCATCCACTCATCCGCCTCAACTACCACAACTACTCATCACCATCAAACAAAAATAGTGGCACTGCCCATCATTATAAACTACTACCACCCACCAACACCTTCCTCAGTCACAACTACTACCACCAACCACCATTAATAACTATAACCACCTACCACCACCATCTCAATCATAATCGGCAATCTTTAAAGCAAGTTGAGGTTAGGGTATGAGACGATCAATGTTTTTAGTTTTTTATGCTCCACAAATTGGATTAGATACAGAAGCTAAAACTAAGTGTCTGCGACCAACTTATCTTTATTGGGGGAGATCTTCATGTAGATAAAGATAGTGACGGTTTTCGCTTAATGACACAGGGAATATGGTTATGGAAGTCGGAATGATGAAGGAAAGGTTGTCCTATATTTCTATCTAGCATATGATTTAGCCTGTAGCTAACACATATTTAAAAAGAGAGTTTTCACCCAATAACATTTAGCTGTAGCTTATGATTTTTATATAGTCGTTGCCCAATGTTTCCGTCACACATAATAAGAGTATCACGTGCACATGATATGTGGGAGATCATCATAGAACACTTGGCCTCCTCAAGATCTAAATATGCAAAAGTACTTCCAGAACTGTATTTAGTCGTTTCATAAAAACATGTGGGTGCATATTTTTCTCAGCTTTATATCTGTTGAATCATTTTCTTTCTCCTCTCTTCTAGGTTGCGGGATGATGACGCCGGAAGGGGAAGAGTGGCTTCTGGAGACGAGACAAGGTAGAAAAGAAAGCAAAATAGTTCGTAAAAATGTCAATAATGAAAGTCGTACTGCTATATTATCTCTAATAACTTGCTATCTCACTTTATTTGTTTGTTTTTTTATTGGAACCTTAATTTGTGTTGAACTAGTTGTTCCTTTTTTACTTTATTGTTTATAGCCGTAGTTCCTATTTTTTCTTTGTTTTCTCTTTAATATCTAGGGAATCTCTTGATAATGAAAAGAAATAGGTCACATTGTCAGAGATTGAGAATGTTCAACTGGTCTTTTTGTTTCTTCTGTTTAACTTTTCTTTAACTTTTAAACTATACAAAAAGTTCTGTCAGAAATATATTTCAGTATGTCAGCCCGAATGTAGTGCGAAATAAGAAAGGTAATCTTTGTTTGTGCTGAATATTTACCTGTCTTTGTTATCCAGAAAAAACTTCTAAGAAGAAGAACAACAACATGAAGACAAATAAGGAGGATTGTGCCAAGAGAAGGTACATTAACAGTAAATCTACGAAGTACAAAATTAGAAATATGTAGGAAGAGTTTAATTACTTATTTAATGAAGGTATCATGTCACATTGAAGTCACCAAATATTATTTTTTGTTGCTCCTCTTCAAAATTAGGGGCAGAGTCAAGGCAGATCTGCAAACTAAGTGCTCCATCTCGTGTATGAAACATTTAATGGATGCTATAAAGGAAAATTATGCACAGTTAAATGCTCTGAAAGGCACAATATTTGTACATTATCTCGACATACCGGGGCGTTCTATTAGTCTAAGTTTAATTGAGCAGCTGGCTAAGAGGTTTGACACCTGTTCTCAATCATTTGATATTGGAGGTTCTAAAATGTCATTTTGTATTAAGGAGGTGCAGGATTGCCTTGGCTTCCAATGTGTGGGCAAAAACGTTGACATTCATGGCTTGAGTGATAAAAATATCGAACAGTCAACTTTAGTACTCAAAAAATATTTTCCTGATCTTGATTTAAGAAAACTCTCAAGGACGGGTGCCCTCGATAAAATTAGAACTTTTCCCATGAATGCTGACGGTTGGAAGGATGATTTTTTGAGACTATGTATATGCTGCATGTTCTCTATTTTTTTCTTTCCACAAACCAAAATGGAGTTGTCATTTTGGCCCCTGATGTACTTTGGTAGTTCAATGGATGAATTTGAGAAACATAATTGGGGAAAGGCTATCTATGATTTCTTAATTCTCTATGTTGGGAGATTTAAAGAAGGGAAGGTCACCTATTTGCAAAGATGTCTGTCACTGTTGGAGATCAGAACCAAATTAATCTCAAATGAATGTTCGGCCCATAATTTGGGTAAGATATGCAGCTCATTTTTATCTATTTATTTTGAGTATTTTGACAGGCGTTAGCTGACCGAAGGCTGAAATTGAGTACCAGTCTAAATGTTGTAGTCTCTAAAGCTGCCATTATCACCTATGATAAAGTTGACACTAGGAGCTCGGACAAAATAAGCCAGACTTTGGTTTTGTCAAATTCAATACTACACAAACTCACAATGATATTCCTCTAGTTGTATCTGAAATTTATTAGTTCATAGAATTATCATCATTCACTGGATTATTATTGTTATCTAAACAGCTAAGAATGTGTGACGCTTGCACTCTCTTGGATTATGTTGGGGGAGAATCACCGAAATAGCAGAATGTCGGAAACACATCCGAACAGCACATAAGCACATCCAACGACGAGATGACAGACGATTGGCCAACACGTTTGCCGCTTCTTCTCCTCGGCGAGGTATTATTTGCTTATCAAATCTTTAGTCTGAAACCCAAGGCAATCCTGCACCTCCTTCCTACAAAATGACATTCTAGAACCTCCAATATCAAACGATTGAAAACGGATGTCAAACCTCTTAGCCAGCTGCTCAATTAAACTTAAACTAATAGAACGCCCTGGTATGTCGAGATAATGCACAAACATTGTACTTTTCAGAGCATTTAACTGTCCATCATTTTCCTTTATAGCATTCATAAAATGTTTCATACACGAGATGGAGCACTTAGCTTGCAGATCTGCCTTGACTCTGCCCCTAATTTTGAAGTGGAACAACAAAATATAATATTTGGTGACTTCAATGTGACACGATATCTTCATTAAAGAAATTAAATTCTTCCTACATATTTCTAATTTTGTACTTCGTAGATTTACTGTTAATGTACCTTCTTTTGGCACAATCCTCCTTATTTGTCTTTTTGTTATTGTTCTTATTCTTAGAAGTTTTCCTAAATAACAAAGAAAGATAAATATTCAGCACAAACAAAGATTACCTTTCTTATTTCACACTACATCCGGGCTACTGACTGAAATATATTCCTGACGGAACTCTTTGTATAATTTAAAAGTTGAAGAAAAGCTAAACGGAAAAAGCAAGAAGACCAGTTGAACATTCTCAATCTCTGGCAATGTGACCTCCTACTTTTCATTATCAAGAGGTTCCCTAAATAAAAAGAGAAAATAAAGAAAAAATAGGAACTACGTCTATAAAAATAAAGTAAAAAAGAACAACTAGCTAAGTACAAATTAAGGTTCCAATCAAAAAACAAACAAATAAAGTGAGATAGTAAGTTATTAGAGATAATATAGTAGTACCACTTTCATTATTGACATTTTTACGAACTATTTTCCTCTTTCTTTTCTACCTTGTCTCGTCTCCAGAAGCCTCTCTTCCCCTTCCGGCGTCATCATCGCGCAGCCTACGTTATCATCCCGTAGCCTAGAAGAGAGGACAAAGAAAATGATTCAGCAAATATAAAGCTGAGAAAAATATGCACCTACATGTTGGCATGAAACTAAATACAATTCTGGAAGTACTCTTCCATATTTAGATCTTGAGGAGGCCAAGTGTTCTATGATGATCTCCCACATATCATATGCATATGATACTCTTATTATGTGCGACGAAAACACTGGACAACGACTATATATAAATTATAAGCTACAGCTAAATGTTATTTGGTGAAAACTCTCTTTTTAAATATGTGTTAGCTACAGGCTAAATCATAAGCTAGAGAGAAATATAGGACAACCTTTCATTCATCATTCCAACTTCCATAACCATATTCCCTGTGCAATTAGCAAAAACCGTCACTATCTTTATCTACATGAAGATCTCCCCCAATAAAGATAAGTTGGTCAAAAACACTTAGTTTAAGCTTCTGCATTTAATCCAATTTGTGGAGCATAGGAAACTAAAAACATTGATCACCAATACCCTAACCTGAACTTGATTATTAATCGTCACCACAACCAATCACCATTAGTTACTACACTGAACCACCACCATCAACCAAAACGACCACCAACCCGCCTCTAGTCGACATTGACAAACACCACCAGCCATCACCACCACCAACTATCATATTTTTAAAAATTATATAATTTATTAATAGAATATTAAAGTAATTAGTATTTCATTTGAATTTTATGTTTATTAATTTTCAAATAAAGATAAATTTTATACATTTACAAATCAAACAGTCTTAATCATTTAGTATTCAGATCTTAATACACATCTGAATCAAATTCAGATGTTTTAATCTTAATGCACATCTTTATATTCATATGTGTATTCAGATTCAGACATCTTAAGCTTAAAAAACAAATGAGGCCTAAATCAAAGAAAATGGCTCTTTGGAATAACTTGAATTTTCCATTATAGCAAATAAAATTAATAGCATTATTGCTAGATTGGACTTCTGTGGTACAGGACGAGCTTATTTTTCAGGTGGTTAACTAGAGCAACGAGCTTTCTTGAAGCAAAGTACAGATTGATGTAATAAGAAATCTTTTAAAATGAAATGGGTCTTTCTCAACTAAGAAGGAAGAGACTTTTTCTTCTTTTTGGTACTCTTTTGGACTGTAATAGGATGGTGAAGGTTTGATGGAGTGTTTTGCTAGTTCGGATGGAATATAAAAGAAGACCATCGATTGATGATTCTTTATTTCTTCCTCTGTTGTGAATATTGATTATCTAGTGCTTGTTGAATAAAAGGATGAAAATATAAGATTCTTTAAGTGAATGTAAATGTATTTTGAAATTGATTAATGGATTTAGCGTGGAGAAATTAGTGTTATTCTGTTGTTCATTTAGGTTTTGTGAAAAGATATCCCTGTTCACAATTTGTATGTCCCATACGAGTTACCGGAGAAGAGATCTCGATTTGTTTGTTTTGTTTTATTTTTTTTAACTATAGAACCGTTAAAATTGAGGATCTTTCCATTAGTTTCAGGGTTTACTCTAGACCCGAACCAAATGTGTCCACCTTTTTCAAACATAAGGGACTATTTGTGTTCAGTAGCATATACAAAGGACAAAAATATGTTAAGCCCTATACATAAGGGAATATTTGGGTCTTTTCCTCACTAATCAGCTCTAGGTACAAGTTTTAAATGTCGGGGGTAAAAGCTAATGTCAGTTGTGTGGCAGCTGCTGCTAAAGTTTGGTGACTAAGTAATGGGCAATTCTCAAAACCTGCCAGACACACCATCTAACTAAACTATCAAGCAAATTACAAACATTGTTGAGAATAAGCTATATAAACTCTAAGCATAATGCGCCTCTAAGCAACAATAAAACATCAACTTAACTTCTTTTGCAATAGTACTTACTCCTTCAATTTATTTAACATAACACATGCAGCAGAAAAATTCAAGCAACGATTTAGGACATTATATCAACTGTTACTAGGCTAGGCAAACTTCAATATTGAATTTTCAATCACTGGAAAATAAAATCAGAAAAGCAATTGGTACTGAAAACCACCTTCCTCTACATACAGAGGCAAAATAAGCACCAGTTGCTAATTCATACACATCAGGTATCAAAAAACTTGGAAAGCATGAACTATTTATCTATAAAAAAGGTTATAGAAGAAGACCTTGAGTATCTTCGTCCGAAATGAAACAGGGGTTCATTCAATATTGACGACTTGTAGTCACAATACCTGCAAATTTCAATATTCGATGGCCAATTCAAACAAACTTTTCAAATACCGCTAACAATAGGGGGAAAAAGAAATAAGATGTTATTCGTACCAACAAGAGATAGTGTTGGATATGCGATTGATGCGCATAGGCAATAGAGTCTCATTGCTTCTTTGCCATCTGCTAAACCTTCGAATTCGTCTGCCTTCCATCTGTTCGTGTTAATATGATGATGATACTAAAATTTGTTTTGTTGAAGGTTTTGGTACAAACCCTAGGGTTTATAGTGGACGGAATTTAGTCATGTTTGGCGCACGTGACTTTGTTCAGTAACTGCTTTGCGCTAATGTAATCTATATGCTTAGACTCACTTTCAATTTGTTTGTTTAATTTAATTAAAAAAATACTTTTGAAAGTTGACTAATTTTAAATCTTTTAAAGTTAGTGGTCTTAAACAAATCATAATAAATGCGTGGTTATAAAGCTTCTCATTAAAAAAATGACATATTAATCTTTTTAAAATGGACTAATTAGAAAATATAGTAATGTACCAATGCATATTAACATTTCTCTTTACTTTTAAACCTGATAAATGAAAAAGATAAAGAATTTTCTATTTAAAATTATACCGGGACAATTGCCTTACACATTCCAATACAAAAAAAGATTCGTTTTTACAAGTTAGCCGATTCCTACGTTTTGAACAATTTAAAATTAAATTCAAGTCAAATCTTGAGAGCCGTGAGCCATCTACTTTGACTCTCTACCTTTCAGCGCCACATCCGTTCTATCTCTCTCTTTTTCTTTTCTTTCATCTCATGCTTTCACAGTTATCTCATCGTCATCACCCTCTACTTAGCGACCACATTTGAGTAAATACTTCACTCCACCAAGAAAAATCACTAACCGATCAATAAAATTTCGGTCAAAAAACCTCACCGAAAAACTTAGACAAAAAGTTCTTTACGATTTTTTGGTAGGTGGTTGCTTTTTCTTCTTCTACTCCTCATTGATTTCTTTTTTCTTTTGTCTTGTTTCTAATATATAGTATTTGAGTAAAGATTCAGTGAAGGTATGGGGTTTTAATGGTGATTGGATAATACTTTTATATATATATATATATATATATATATAGTATAATAGGTGTATTATACTATAGATTATGTATATAAAAATCTGAAACACTATGTTTAAAGGTACTGGTGATTTAATAATACTTATTGATGGGGATTAAGGTTGAATCCAACCATTTTGGAGTGAATGGAGAGGCAATATCTTGCATGTATCCCGAATATATGCCTACTACATCCCCGGGGATACAATGTGTATTGTGAGTCATTGTATATGCCTATTATATCCCAAGTTATTGTAACGATCTGGCTAGTGGTTTTGTGTATTTGAGCCTCATTCCCATATTTGATGCTCATCGTAGGTGTATTTATTTTTATGTGACTAGCAGGGATTGTTAGCTTGGGTTCGGGGAGGTTTTGGAGTGAATCGAAACACTTAGTTCCATGGTTGGAGGCTTAAGTTGTAAGAGTTGACCAAGGTTTGACGTTTGTGTAGACGACCTTAGATCAAAGTGCTGATGGTTTCGTTAAGTCGGGATGGTGATTTTAAATTTAGGCATATGTTCGAATTTGGACTTTGGAGGTTCCTAGGTTGATTTGGTTTTATTTGGCGAAAGTTAGTAATTTGAAAGTTTGAAAGGTTCATAGGTTGACCGGAAGTTGACTTTGTCGACATTGGGTTCGTATTATTATTCCGTGAGTTGGAATAAGTTCGTTAATGTTATTTGGGATTCATGCACAAGATTTGAGGTTATTCCGAGTAGATTAGACGTGGCTCGACGTGAGTTTTGGGAAGTTAGAAGTTGATTAGTTCCTTAGGCTTGAATCGAGGAGCGATTCGTGGTTATGATATTATTTTGTGTGATTTGAGGCCTCGATTAGGTCCATGTTATATTTTGGGACTGGTTGGTGTGTTTGGAGGGGGTCTCCAGTGTGTTCGAATGAGTTTCATATCTTTTCCACGTTGTTTGGCAGTTCTAGTCTGCTATTTTTGCATCTACGATGTATTGGGCGCAGGTTCAAGTCCGTAGAAGCGGACCTGGGGCCGCAAATGTGAGGAATGGTTGTTGGAGGCTAAGTCCACAAATTTTGGCAATATGAGCCCAGATGCGTTGTCGCAGGTGCGAAGGTACTTCAGTAGAAGCAACGCGCATCAACGACGAGAAGTTCGCAGAAGCGGAGGGATGGAAGTTAAGTGACTTCCACATCTACAATTATTTTTTCGCAGATACAGTACCGCAGATGTGGAATTTTGGTCAGCAAATGCGAAAACTACTGGACATAATATTTATTTTGAGGGTTTGATTATTTTTCATTAATTGGAGTTTTGGAGATCGGTTAGAGGCGATTTTTGGGGTGTTTTCCACTACAATCTGAAAGGTAAGTAATCTCTACTTGATTTTAATGTTAGATCTTGTTTTCCCATGGATTATCACACCTAGACAGAGGTGGCCAGAGGGTGAAGCCACCAAAGCAGGGGCTTTAGGACCCAAAATTTTGGGGGCCCCGATTTTTTCTTTCAATTCCTACTTGATATCTGGTATTTAGTTTGGGATATTGGTTAATTTGAATTTGCACCATGTAATCCATTAAAGTGGGAACCGCTCCTTAGAAGGAAATTTTTCCATTTCAAATACTC